AGTGACGTTCGTCACTTTGTCGGGCAGCACAGCTGCCCAGAGAAGATCTGTTGTGCTATCTGCTTGACATTCAAAGCATCCCTCTCCTCTTGGCCTTCACCCTCAGTAAGAGAACAAAGGGGCAGTTTTGCACGAGAAAAAAATAAGCCTGGGCCTTATTCAGCACTAGGCTCACGATAAGCCGCCTTGATCTGTCACCCAGTCATTTTAGAGCATCCGTTTGCATGGTGTGGTGGGCTTATTTCAGCCCATCCCGAGCTGAACTAGCCCTACCCCAGACCCCCGAGCTTATCGCACCCCCGGGGCTTATTTGCTCATTGTAATGGTCAAGAAAATAAGCCATGGGCTTATAAGCGAGTTTTCTGTATTTTTCGATGTTGCCTCTTGAATCTGCGAGACTTCGTCGTAGACAGTTCGCCTCTTTTGTTTTGTGTTCTTCGCAATTTCTCTTTCGTTCACTGAAGGCTTTTGCCTTTTCGAAAAAAAATTACAACCACAAAAGCAGTAGAAGCGTGGAGCAGGCATTGATCCTGATTTCATCATTTATGAACATTTACCACTATGTTCATGTGCGATTTGAAAAAATAGAATGCACCCAAAAACTGTCACCCACCTGAACTCAGCCCCGTACAACTGTCATGTAAATGGTGGAAAAAATATGCCCGAGGCAAATACGCTCGGGCTTATTTTTTCTCATGTAAAACAGGCCGTGAGTGAGCTCATGTAGAATGTGTAAAACCTCTACATAGCTTTTATGTAAACCGAAAGGAAGCAAAGAGTGCCCAAGAGCTGGTTTTATTTGAAGTTAAAGGGTGAAAGCCACTAGTGTACACGTTCTTCACTTCTCTCCCTCACTCCTAGCACCTTTCACCAGCGATGCTGCTTCCACCACATGCCCACAGTTTCTTGCACGTTTTGTTTTTTCTTCGCACTTTCTCATCACTTTCGTACAGCTTCTCATCGACGTCACTGCTTATCTACTCAATTTTTTGTTTGTTTGCACTTAGTGTTCATGTTTCACCCTGGTGATAAGCTAGGCCCGAAAATTTGGTGCACATTTCGAGTGACATCTGCAGCAAAGAGACCGTGTTTGAGAGTTTGAGTTGAGGATCCTATAGGCCTAAGATAACTGGGGTTTCAATTTCTACGTTAGTTATGTGGAGTTACTGTAGGTTTATTGATACACCCATCGACAATGCCAATGCCTTTTCAATCACCGCCCTACTTCGAAGTAGACGATCCTTCGTGGCAATAGCTATTTGAAATTTTAATTGTGTTGCTTTGTGGATTACATTGGCTTGATGTGTGCATGGGCATAAAGATGGTGTTGTCCCCATTTACTTCTATGTATCACCAGGTTTTGGGTATGAGCCAGCAGAATGCAGCACAGCTTGTCATCACCACTGTGAGTCTGAGAGATATTTCTTCGAGCCGCTCATTAGTATACCATTTGCCCATGGCATTTCCCTAGCATGTGTTCCCATGCTATTGCATGTCAGTAGAGTCTACCAGGTATCAATGTCATGCCACTTTTAGGATTTTGGATGGCAACGCCGAACTCGCGTTTACTTATACTCGAGTAGATTTTTTTGGTTGGAGGAAAGCAAATCAGCACACGAAGCACAGAAGCCATATAATTTTTTCGACTAGGTATTTCATTGTCTCACTTTGTAGTTGGTGCCACTAGCGCTATCTTTTAAAGTGCTATTTGGTCTATGCTCTGACCGCCAAATATGCTGTTGGCGCCACTAGCGCTATTTTTCAAGTGCTAATTAATTTTTGTCAATGCTCTGCCCGCCAAAAGTGCCGGTTATAAGGACTTGCTTACTACCTTGTTAATCACCATTGTATTCGACCTGAAGAGTAATGGAACGAAAAGGGCCTAGTCGAAAAAAATTATATGGCTTCTGTGCTTCGTGTGCTGTTATACTCGAGTACGTGCCCTCTTTTTATATTTTTTTCTGGCATGTCATTTTTCTGTTGGCACGCTGCTCCATTGACGGAGTGTGTTTAGATAGCGGAGCAGAGCTATGGGGGCGATGATTCTATGTGACAGTGCGTTGCGTATGCGTATCTGTACTGTTCAAAGCAAGCTGAACGACTGCTGAATACTTGGATCAATGTTTGGTGTTTTCATTACCCTCATGATGGGCCAGGGCCGAAAATTTGGTGTAATGTTAATTTTGATTTTGGTTTGAATCGCGGTGAAGAGACCGTTTTTGGAGTTGCTGCATGTGCAACTTGGAGTTAATTCAATACATGTGTGCACTGGTGTTTGTTCTCTGGATGATTTGTCTTTGTGATACTTCAGATTGCTCCAAACGTGTTTCACCTAGTGTCATGCATCGCCTCTTATCCGAGTTCATTATATATGAACTAAGCAAGCGCCAGAATGTTGCATCTGCTCTGATGTCTGGAAGACATTCACACAGGGGTAAGGAATCCTGTCATTCCATGGTGCACTCATGTTTGATTACAAACTATGTATGTGTGTGTTCGGGAGGGGGGGGGGTACGTTTGTGGGGAGATGGGATACTGTTTGTGGGGAGATGGGATACTGTTTTGTTTTTATTTCTGTACGAGCCCATTCAATTGCGCATAATTTCCATCCGATCTAGACTCTGTAATGATGCGTATACTGCTTGATTACACACTTTCTGTTGTTCAGAATCCACTAAATTCAAACTCCATGTATTAGCTTTTAAACATTTACTTTACGATGTCGCCGACCCCGCATGTGTCTGCTCTGGAAGCTAGTTTCTACAAAGAGTTGTATGTGGCGATGTCTTTCGCTTTTTTTTATTTAAAGTGGAGATTCGTGATCAAGACTGCATGCGTCTCTGAGCAGCTGAGCCGTGAGTGTAGCTGCGACCAACTGCACCGCAGGCATGTAGTTCTCTGTTTTGTGTTTTGGGTGCTTCTCTTGTGTTTTTTTAGTGGCGTGAAAGCTGTCGGCAACGTGCACTGCACGTCTGCTGAATACGCTGGCTGCAAAGGCCCGACTCGGAACTGTTTTCACTGCTTTCACGGTATGTCCTCTATGGTTCCACCAGCCTCCTGCTGCTCCTGTTTCTACTCAGGGCTATGAATTTGAATTCCTTTATTGAAGTGTAACGTCTATCTTTTCTAGAGTAATGGACCTCGTCGAAAGCATCCGCACTCCATTATAAACTTTTGCTACTCAATCTCTGGTCAGCTGGCAGTTTTGACCTTGTTGGATCTCATCAGCGGAGCTCTGAGCTACTGGCCAGCCGATCGCAATGAAGTTGTGCGATCGTGCCAAACTGAGAAGCAAAGATAAAGGCTCCTATTAAAGACATGAATAGGCTGTTTGTCACAGGCAGAACAAAGAAAAATGCGACAACGGCTATGCCGAAAATGTGCCCAAAGTGTGTTTGCCTGAGGTTCTTGCAAGAGCTTTGTGAAGCTGCAACATTCTGACCTGCCTTTTATATTTGTCTCCTGGAGGTGTTCCAGTTGGCATGATCACTTATCCCAGAACATGTCGAGGCACATCTCTTTCTGTTTGCACTTTGCACATGGTAGCAAGCTGCCTTTGTAAGTTGAGTCTCTGACCGATATCATCAGGAGGAGAGTTGCCGACCTCTTGCCCAAGCACTTGCTCAGTTTGTTAGATGTCTACATGTGTGACCATCCCACCCACAATACATATACAGCTGCAGGCGGAAACCTAGTGTGCTGAACGGGACCATGTTTCGTTGGATGTTCTTTCCCATTCCAGTGACCGTTGTTGTGTTCTTTAACCTCTTGAATTGTCTCATCACAATAAATTGTGGCAAACCAGTTGTCCATCTCAGTGCGCATTTTGAGTCGATCGCAATGTTGCCCGTGCGTTGCCATACTCGAATGGTAACTGCTCTCTGACGTATCACAGCATTTTATGTTGAGAACTACCGAAATTGGTCCAACCAAACCAGGAATGGATGTTGGATGTTTGTTTGGTTAGGGTAATCTGTTTTTTTTTTTTGCTGGGTACTACTTTGATTTTCGCCTTACCACAACAAGCAGCTTAGCCATTTCTGGTCAATGATATGCACGAGCTACTTGCTGTGTGAGAAGAGAAGATTGGGGCTCCTCTTTCATAGTTATTGCTTTGTGATTTCCCTCTTCTGTTTTCCCAACAGGTAATTGATCACCTCCACTGTGTTGATTTCTCACGGACAATGAGAATGAAGTCTCTTGCTGCTGAGTGCGGTGGGCAAAGTTCAGGCAATTGTTAAAAAACCGAATTGCGTAAGGTTGTGTGCTGTGCTCTCTCTCTCTCTCTTTCTCTCTCTCTCTCTCTCTCTCTCTCTCTCTCTCTCTCTCTCTCTCTCTCTCTCTCTCTCTCTCTCTCTCTCTCTCATACACACACACACGCACACACACACGCACACACACACACACACACACACACACACACACACACACACACACACACACACACACACACTCCCTCCCTCCCTCCCCTCCCCTCCTTCCCCCCTCCCCCCATTTGTGTATGTACCCTAACCTCTGTCGTATGCATGTCCGTACGTGTGCACGAATACCACGTATGCACACCTCCCTCTTTCCCCCTTCTTGGCCGGACCAGTCGTGGAGTTCTTGGAGTAATGAGAATTATTCTC